CCGACATAAACAAGGTATCTAATACTTGTCCTTCTGGTAAATGAAAATCAGTAGAATGGTTTCATTTTTGTAAAGGAAATATTAAGAATGGGAAAATTGAGATGTTTTGCAATTATTGTGGGGCCAATTATACGTACTATGTTGATAACGGTACTTCTGCTATGTTGAAGCACTTGAAAAGGTGTAAAAAGTATCATCACAATATAGAAAACAAGCAAAATTTGTTTGTTGCACGTAGAGTAGACGGGACTCAAATGATAAGGGGGCATACCAGTACCGGTAATGCTAATGTCTTATCGACATGGACATTTGATTATGACCGTTTTAGGCAAATGCTTGTTCAGATAATCATAATGGATCAACAACCTTCTTCGATGGTTAAGCATGTCGGATTCTGTGATTTTATTAATCAGTTACAACATTTCTTCAATCACATCTCACGATTTACAGTGGCTTGAGATTGCATGAAATTGTATCTTTGTGAAAAAACAAGTTTGAAGACTTACTTTCGCAAGCTTAAGTCTAGGGTCGCACTCATGACCGATATATGGAGTTCCATTCAGAAGTTGAACTATCTATATATCACTGTATATTTTATTGATGATGATTGGAAATTGCACAAAAGAATCATTAATTTTGTGGTGATGCCTAGTCACAAGGGCAAGGATTTGGGAAAATGGTTCCACAATGCATCTATGAGTGAGGAACAAAGAAAAAAGTGTCCTCAATCACTATAGATAATGCTAATTCAAATGATATTGCCATTGATTTTTTGAAAGAAAAATTATCAAGAGATAGGCTATTGATCCTAGATGGCGATGTTTTACACATGAGGTAGATGGCTCATATATTAAATTTGATTGTGAGGGATAAATTGACCAAAGTACATGATTTTATTGCATTATTCAAAACGTGGTTAGGTATGTGAGGGGTTCTCCCATGAGAGCTAAAATGTTCTGAGATTAGATTTAGAGTGTAAAGATCACTTATAACGGTTGAGTTTGTCTTGATGTCACAACTAGGTGGAATTCCACTTACCACATGTTAGACACTGCCTTAGAGTTAAGAAAAGCTTTTGAAAGAAAGGAAGAGGATGATCATTCTTTCTTAACTAAGCTTGACTATGAAACTCCTAAATATGAAGATTGGAAAAATGTCAAAATTCTTTTCATATTTTTGAAGAAGTTTTGTGATGCCATCAAGAAAATGTCTGGGACTCCGTATATCACTTCGAATGATTATTTCAATGTGATAGCTACTTTATATAAAACTCTGAAACAAGCGGAGAAGCTTTAAATCCTAGGATGAAAGCTATGGGTGCGAAGATGAGGGATAAGTTTGACAAATATTATGCGAGTTTCGAAAAGGTAAATATGATGTTGTTGATTGCGATAATATTGGATCGAAGAAAAAAAGATGAATTATGTGCAGTATTGTTTTAGACTGATCTATGATGATAGTATGAAAGTTAATGAGGTGTCCGATAAGGTGAGGATTGCCTTGGAATGTTTGTTTCATTTTTATGAGAAATCTTTTCTTGGTTCTGGTAACAGAAATTTGGGCGGTCAACTTAGTTGCTGGATCCTGATACAAGGATGAGCTTGATTTGGTTGTGGATTTTTATTCGGAAAAGGCGTACGAATTCTTTCTGCACAAGAAGAAAAAAATGTCTACAAACAACTTATCTGAGCTCAATAATTATCTTAAAGCCGAACATGAAAAAGGTCGTTATCTTGACCTTTTGATGTGGTGGAAAACTGCTGGCCAAAAGTTTAAAATCCTCTCTTTAACGGCTCGGGATATTTTTTCTATTCCTGTAACAACTTCGAAGTCGACTTTCGGTACGGTCATGTGCTCGATGGCTTTCGAAGTTCTTTGACTCTTAGAGTGATAGAAGCTTTGATTTGCACTCAAGATTGGTTGAGAGTGGTTACCATACCAATTAATGTTTAAGAGTGCATCGAGAATGCGAAAAGGTTTGAATGGGGTAAGTCATGAATATATCTTTTTATATTGTAATTCTTTCGTATACATAACAAGTGAATGCCTTATTTAATATTTTATTTTTTTAAAATATGGACGATGTTCACTCGGAGCTTACTGGTAAATAGAGTTTGCAAGTTGAAGTGGAAGAAATATACGTGGTGAGATTTTCCATTAATTATTTGAGTTCGATTTTTAATAATTCTAGTTTTAAACTGATGTTTAGTGATCATATATACTTATTGCAAATTTAGCCATGGTTTTTGGGCTTTCGGCTTTGATCATATTTTGCTTACTTGATCAAAGAATATGTTCTTCCAAGGGTACGCAACACTGAGTGATTCAGTGAGATGTGTGGAGTTTGGCTGTTTAATGTTGAATAATGTCTTTCTCTTGCTCTGATTGTTGAATTTGATTTCATTTTTTACTCCTCAGAGAATTTGTTCCGGATTAGTTATGACCATTTTTTTTTATTGTTTGTACTAGTTCTTTATCGGTGTGCTTTTGCAAGAACTGCGGTAATATGGTGATTGAACTAATGCTTTTAGGGTGAATGTAGTCTGTAATGTTGGACATGAAGAGCGAACTTTTGTCATAGATGTTGAAGATTTCTAAATGTTGAAGATATTTATAAATCTTCTAGGAATATTTAGGATATTTCCTATGATTTTCTATATCTATTTTCAATATATCGAAATACATACAATTTCTCACATTTCTCTCTTCCGTAATTCTTATATTTAACTTGGTATGAGAGCCTCTTTTCTTGAGGCAACTTAGTGCACCGGGTGCATTTCTCACCCGGTGCACCTCATGCACCCCAGAAATTTCTCCAATCCTATTTTTGCGCTTTACATTTATCATGGTATCAGAGTCTGGTGGTGGTTTTGGCTTCTTGAAACAATGCGTGAAAGGTCGAGAATCAGAGGGGAAACAGCAAGCGATCAATACGGCTGGCTTGCAAAATAGTAACTAAGCGACGCAACCTATACGGCTAGCGTCGTAACATCGAGCGGCCTATACGGCTGGCTTGGAAAAGAGTTACTGGGATGCAGCATGTGCAGCTAGCATCGAAAGAAAGCCACCTCCATGAAAAAGGCTCGATCGGTGACGTGATCAGTGCGATTAGCATCGAAACACTATGCGGACTTGATTAAGTACTTCCTCATATGAAACTTGTGGGCACCAAGTGAACACTATTGAACAACAATGATGGGGATAGATTTATTCTGCACTGAGAATGATAAAGCGGAAAAATAGGATTGGGGAAATTTCTGAGGTGCATGAGGTACACCCGGTGCACTAAGTTGCCTCAGGAAAAGAGGCTCTAATACCAAGTTAAATATAAGAATTGCGGAAGAGAGAAATGTGAAAAATTGTATATATTTCAATATATTGAAAAGAATACATAGAGAGCCTATTTATAGGCTTAGATAGAGGAAATATCTTAAATATTCCTAGAAGATTTCTAAATATCTTCAACAATAGACATGGAACTTAATGAGAAATTATTTGGCCGTTCATCTATGGCCGGAGTGAGTGTTGAAGTTCAACACTCAAACGTAATGTCTGACTTCCATTGGACCATTTTGGGGGTCTTGGTTGAAGAAACCCGACACGAGGCAATATCTCGACTAGGGGAAAAGTGTCGAATGTGGTCATGGGGATGCCTAGACTAGAATTTTTTGTAAAGCAGGACCAATAATCTTCTAAGAGCAAAAAAGTGTCCTGGTTTGTGACTAGACAAAAGTGACAATAAACTAGATTCCTGTATGAAGAAATTGAAACTAATTCAAGATCCTCAATGATTTTCAGTTCATTCCAATAACATGATCAGGCAGCAACAATTGAGGCCCTTTCAAATGGGGACATACAAAAAGGCACGAAGAAAAACGAAATTGTCAACATTCTAGCGACCCAAAATAGAAACATGCGACCTCTTTCTAAATTATGACAAACATAAACTTTTCCAAATTAAAAAAGGGAAGAGATATTTTTCCCAAAGATAAAAAAGGGTAGGAAGATGACTGAGCGAAGAGACGTTGGGAACGTCACCTTGAAGCTCCATTTCCTCTATTTCCTAGTGACATTCTCTTTTGTTTAGTCACAAATTGGAATGTTTAAGGGTTGAACTTTTTTACTCCAAATTTTTTTTTGTTCAATGTAATGATATTAAGTGATTGGTTCCATTGAAACTGCACCGGTGGTTCGGTCTAGTTCCTTGTTCCTGGGTGGGACCGAATCGGATCGGAAACTGGTCACCCCTATTTGTGAGTATGTGGATTCTTGATATGCTTGTGAATCTACATCATGATGCGTGCTTGCAATAGGTGAATTAGTTATCACAGTAGATTGGGATTATATTACAAGCAGTTAAAATATGTATAATATATTCTGTGTTCCTCGAGTGATTGAACTATTCTATTATGAATATGTAAATAACTAAGATATACCTTGAATAAATGAGTGATTGGTAGTTTTCAAATTAGAGTGACCTGAAACGAAATGTGATGTTATTTGTTAATTGTTACGATGATATTGTGCTTTATGGTCAAGTGGTAAGTATATCTCCTACTTTAGACCTAGAACTTTGATTTACTAATATTAGACTCACCTCAAAATAACTTAGATTGGTCGAGTTTGAAGCTCAAGGCATTTGAATTAACCCTTCCAAAGACCTATTTTACGGATTGAATCAGAGTGCGCAACAAAAATAGAGATGTATTTCTATCAAAAGATTTTGGTGTATATTAATTGATATCATATTATATGTACAATTAAGGATAAATTAGTTATTCATTGAAGAAGTGAAGTTATATTATTTATCTGTTCGAGGTTAAAATTGTATAAAAAATTTTAGGTCGTGACACCGATTAACTATATTTGATAAAGAAATGCTCTCATTTTCAATACACTAATTACATATTACATGAGAAAGAACGGGTAATATCACATCGACATCATGAATAGTTCGATAGAAACCAAGATGGTGGGTCCCCATGCCTTGATTTCCCCTCCCGAATTGTCCTCTCCTGCGAACCTGTTGCACAAAAATTCTGAATTGGTTGGCTCTTCGGTCAAGGCTCTCCATGGCGGCACTCTCTCTTCTCTCCCTCCTCCTCCTCCTCCTCCTCCCTCTGTCCCTCCTCCTCCTTCTCTCCCTCATCGTCCGCCCCCGCCCCGTCAAGATCCCCATCAAGGACCGCCACGTCTTCATCACTGGCGGCTCCAGCGGCATCGGCCTCGCAATCGCCCACCATGCCGCCGCCGAGGGCACCCGCGTCTCGATCCTCGCTCGGTCCCAGTCCAAGCTGGAGGAGGCCAAGCAGGGAATCCAGCTCGCCACAGGGATCGACGTCGCGACCTTCTCCGCCGACGTCCGCGACTTTGATGCCGTGAGGCGCACAGCAGAGGAGGCCGGGCCGGTGGACGTGCTGGTGGTGAACCAGGGGGTGTTCCTCCCCGAGGAACTGGCCAAACAGGAGTTGGACGAGGTCAGGTTAATGATAGATGTCAATCTGATCGGCAGCTTCAACATGATCAAGGCATTTTTGCCGGCGATGAAAGCTAGGACTGATCGTAGGCCGGCTTCAATTGCTCTCATGTCCTCTCAGGCCGGACAGGTAATTACCGTTATGGCTCAACGTGAGAGCATTCTTAGTTTTGCCTTGTCTCTATGCTTTTGATGGAATTGGTGATTGGTGATTGGTGATTGGTGATTGGTGATTGCTGTAGGGGGGGATCTACGGCTACACTGCTTACTGCGCAAGCAAATTTGGGCTCCGAGGATTGGCCGAAGCACTGCAACAAGAGATTATTGCCGATGACATTCACGTTTCGCTCGTTCTCCCACCGGATACCGATACTCCTGGACTAGTGGAAGGTATATCTAGACCTATCAAAACAGATTATAAATTCATTTCTTAACTCATATATAGACCTATCAAAATAAGTCATAAACCCATATCTTAACCTATATTTGATAAATTGAGCTGTTACATGGATTAGTTATATTAAATAAATGGATTCATAAATGGGTTTAGACCGAACTCTATGGGTTATAAATGAGTTTAATATGAATGTTAAATGGGTTCATAACTTATTTAAACTCAACCCACCTCTATGATTCTCTCTCACCCTCACTCAATCTTACGCTCGCTTACCGTGTTTTCACCTTCATTTGGATATGAGTTTTTTTTAAATATAGTAAAATATATAAGTGTTTTAGTAATATGGATCGAGTATGGGTCGGGTCGGCTGTAGGTCGTTAGACTTGTATTGTATGAAAATGAATCAATTTGGGTCAAACCATTTTCAACATGACCGTATGTAACAGTCTGAATTTTCGATCCTTTTCCCGGGATTTAGGAAATGAATTTGATCAATGCACTTATAGTGAGATCTCACCCGGAAATGCGCATTCTCGGGATGCTAACATTAGGGGTAGGGCCGTTACGGGATTGAGTTCGCACGACCAAAGAACTCGACCTGGGTTCGATCTTCGACCATATTGATTGACGAGGGAATGTTTTGAGCCAACCGAGACCGGTCTACTTGATTGATCGTGTCCAAAGGGCACTAGTGACAGACCCTCGCAATTATATGACAATCGAGGTCGCCTTGGTTCGAGCAAACTTAAACGTGATTTGACTTAGTGTCGGTCACGGGTCGAGAGCGCGTAATCCCAATGAGCCACCCGTTAGCAAGAGATAAGCTAAAGTCGCGATTGTTCGATTTTAGTCATTTCTTGGAATTCGGGCCTGGGAATCGAGAATTTTGAAAGTGACAATTTTGAGCGGTCGATGACGTTTTTGGCTTGGCCAACCTTGGGGCCACCCATTTCTGCAAAAAAATGGATTTCGGTCCGGGACCCGGAAAATGACGATTTTGCCCCTCTGGTCACCAATGGCGATTCTGAAGTCGTTTGAGGTTATTTTTCGAGGCTAGTGTCATTTTGGGGTGGCCACGCATACCAGGAGTGGTTTTGGCCAAAAATTGGAATTTCGACAAAAATTGAAAAAATAATATTATTTTATTCTCGAGACTTTGACGTGGATTTTCGAGGGCTTGCGCGATGAATTTCGCGATTTCGACGCCATATTATGTTGGCCACGCACATATGGAACACGTATGTGCGAAAATTGGAATTTCTGTTCGGGATCGGAAAATTACGAAAATGCCCCTAGGCCATTTTTAATTAATTCCGAAATTTGGATTAATTTTGGGATTAACCAAGGTGAGTTAGGCTTAACTCAGGTCTGGTCAACCATGGTTAAGAGCAAATGACCATTCTACCCCTAAATTATTGGATTTGATCAAATCTTGTCCCTTGGATCAAGGGCAAAGTTGTCCAAACCCTTGGATTATTGACACATGGATCCCACTAAGCTATCTTTGACCCATTTGACCATATAGTCTTCTCTCTCTCTCTCTCTCGTGCAGACCCATTCGGCCATTTTCCCATTATTTTCCTCTTCTTCTTCACGTTTCTGGTTCTGCAGTCCCGTTTACGCCATTTAGGTCTTGTTCACGCACGAACGCACGATCGGGGCTGGCGGCCGCCCACCGGTGTCGCCACAAGCACCCTTGGACCTCCCTCTCACTGTTCAACCACCACAGTCCCGGTTTTTGTCCAAAACAGCCTTGTTTCTCTCTTTTCTCTTTCCTGCTCGCAAACGATCCGCGGGAGCTTCGCCGAGCTCCGATCGCCGTTTCGTCGACACCCAGCCATCCAGCCTCGCCGTACGTCGCCGTCCAGCACCGTCCGTACGGTTACTGTTTCACCGCCGTACGATCACTGTTCACGCCGGACCGTACGGACGCCGCGGCTGTCACCGACACCTCGCCGGCACCGTCCCAGCCCCTGTCCGTACGGTGTCCGTACGAAAGCACTGTTCACCGCCGTCCGTACGGGGTGCACTGTTCACGCCGTCCGTACGTCGCCGGCGACGCCGCTCCCGTTGCTGCTGCTGTCCCGGCCCGTTCCAGCCCCGTTCTGTCTCGCCTTTTTGGGTAAGTGTTTTCCCCAAATGTCATTTAGGACCTCGGGTATTTCTAGACTCGTTTGAAGTTCGGTTGAAGTGATTTTAGGGACTGTTTCGTGGCTGTCTTTGGGACTAAGTTAGAGGTTGAATGTTTGGAGGTTGTGGGCTGATTGGGCGACGAAATTCGAGGTTTAGGAATGCTGAGTTAGGGCGGTGATGTCGAGGATCGATCGGGAATTAAATGGGTGATTAATTGGAAATGTATTGGCTTGATTGGGTTTATCGGATTAATTGTGTAGTTTGCTGTCATTGGCTTGTTCTAGTTTGTGCTTGGGCCGAATGTGATGTGGTGCTATGCCGTGTGTGTGGCCGTGAGGTGTGGTGGCATGGACATGTGAATGTGCATTGAGTTCGTGTGCCGAGTGTGGGTGATCATGTGGTGTTCGTGTGATGAGAATGCGTGTTTGTGAAGTGTACGTGAGATGTGAATTTGGTGCGTGGCTATGTATGTGTGAGGCGTGTATGTTTGGCCGTGCGTGTGCTGGTTGTGTGTAAGTGTGGTTTGAGTGGAACGAGGATATGGAAATGTGAGATTGGTTGGAAAGGATCCGTCCTGAGGCGTGTACGTTTACGTGGGACGATGCCGTCCCTAACGAGGTGACGATGCCCGGCCTGACGAGGTGTCGATGCCTCGACGTGGTCGAAGACCGTTGGCTCGATGCGTTTACGCGGCGCAGAGAAGGAAAGTGTGTGTAGGATTCCGTCGAGGCGTGTACGTTTACGCGGGACGATGCCGTCCCCCGACGAGGTGACGATGCCCGGCCCGACGGGGTGACGATGCCTGACGAGGTCAGAAGACCGTTGGCCTGATGCGTTTTACACGGGCGCGGTAGTGGTGGAAAGGTTGAAAATGAGTGGGATTTGGCAAGACAAGCGAGAGGATTGTGGAAACTGACGCATGGTGTGAGTAGCGTGCGAGTGTGTTTGTATCGCGCGATGTGATGCTTAATTATGGGGTAGAAACTGCTAGGCACGGTATGGGACGTGCCCAAGTGGTTTCTGTCTTATAATTGAGGCACGCGCGCGTCTGTGATTCCTTCTTTGTGATGTGTTGGCTGTGTTATTGTCTAACGTGCAGGAACGTGCGTGATGGATTCCAGGTAGGGTCGCATGTGATTGTTAGTTTAGCCGATCGTTGTGTGTTATGTGTGTTTTCGTCTGGCGGTACGTGAGTGCCTACGTGGGGTTTGGGGTTGTACACTTATTGAGATTCGTCTCACGGTTGTATAACCGCCACTTTTTCGAACCCCGGCCCTAAACCGGGAAGTGCGCCTTTTCTTTTGGAAGTCAGGAGAGGCTGCTTGTTGGTGCCCGGTGGAGCTGGGGTGAGTTTCGAGATTCAAGCCGGAAATTCGAACGAGAATGGAAGAGGGCGACCCCTGGGTTTTTCCCTAGGGTGTTTTAGGGGTTGTATAACTTGGGTTATCCGATAGTGAAGTTAAGATAACTAAACCCCTGAACTTTTGTTTAAACGGTGACTGAGAATGTTAGTTTGTATTTATGTCTGTAATATGATGTTTGTATATTTGGTGTTGTATGAAAATGTGGTTGCTGGATTGTTCTGTTGTTCTACCCCGTTGTCGTCATTATTTGTCCGGGGTTTTATTATTCGCTTCCGCATGTGGCTCTGATGTTTGGGTTGGGTCGGCGACGTTCCTGGGACGTCGCATCATTTCGACCGGAGCAGGGGATGTCGCGAGCTCGATGGGGTTCGGGGCGTGACACCGTAACCCAACCCACCCGTTTAACAGATCTACCCATATATGATTGATTTAGTTGTTATATGGGTTAATTATACTTAGTAAATGAGTCATAAATGAGTTTCACCATAATATGGGTATTAAATGTGTCGTAAATGGGTTCATAACTTACTTGAATTAACCCACCTCTATAACACTTTCTCTATTCTCTCTCGCCCTCATTCAATCTCGCGCTCATTTTCACTTCAGTTTAGGTATGAGTTTTCATAGATATGATTAAATATAGAAGTGTTTTAGTAATATGGATTGGGTCAGATTGGATATGAGTCACTAGATATGCATTGCATGAAAATGGGTCAAGACAGATTAAACGGATCTATTTGGGTGAGATCATTTTCGATCCGATCCACCCGTTTGATGGGTCTAGGTATATCATTGTGAAATCGCCTCTTGCATATTGCCCCTGCGTAATGTTTTTAGTTGGACTGCTTTGCTGTTTCGAGGATTCAATGCTCTGCCATATATTGCTTGTGAAATCTGTGCAGTTAGACGACTGTAATGGAACAAGATAATCTGAATTTTGGTAGAATATCGAAAAGTAAATGACAGTTCATTCTCTAGGAACTTCCCTACAAGATCGAAGGAGAAGCAGATCACTTTTTATTCCAAACCATAGAGTTCTTTTATTAGTTCACAATAATTGCTACTCGGCAATCCCGGGGTTTTCTGCCGGTAGTTTCATCAATCATGAAGCACATAGTTGTTTCTACGGCACATAGTTAGCATTCATGATTCCCGCTAGTTTCGCTCAAGCTGCATCTTCTTTGTTCCTAGCTTATGATCTCTTTCCTGCTCTTTATAGATGCTTTCTAAGTTAGTTGCAGGAATGCATTGTCATCTATTGTTTTATCGGGCATCTTTAAATAGACATCATCTCTCGCTATCAAAGTATCCCGCAGCTTCAATGACAACAGCTCCGGCCCATATATTAGTGCTCTACAATGTATCACTGTTCGTATGACTGGCCGCCTTATGTCCATATGCTTCCGTACTCTGAGTACTTTCAAGAATCAAATGCTGAGGACATGCCAGCAAATTGTTATTTTTCTTGCCAATGCTCTTTGAATTAGTACATCACTTCCTGACTGCAGAAACTAAGAGACGACATCCGATATCAAGCATCATAGCTGCTTCTTCTGCTGCAATGACAGCGGATCAAGTTGCTGAGAAGACATTAAACGGGATCAAATCTGGCAGCTTTATTGTGCCTTGCAACTTTGTGGGCTACTTGCTAGCAATTGCTACTGCTGGTTTGTCTCCTCAAAGATCATACACCATGGCATTCGTGGAGGTGGTTGGTGCTGGTATTTGCCGTCTTGCCGGCCTCTTCTTCCAGTGGAACTGGTATGGCAGTATAGAAAAGTGGCATGCGCAAAGTAAGCAGTGACCCGTGAGTGTTCCGCAGTGGACCTCCTTAATGCCGGTTTGTTTTGTCGTCTGTTGCTGCTGTCGTTGCTTTGAGTTTTGTTATGTGACACGATGACTTTATATATGATGCTTTTATTTGATCTTTGTATAGCCTGAGATACCGTTGGCATTTTGGAGTATGATGACAATTTGTAAAAAGAAGATGATTTCAGATGCTCGATTGTTTCCAGTAGAATGTCTTGGATTGCTAGCTAAAAAGAAAGCTGCCATTTCTGTAGCAAGATGACCATAGGAAAAATTCCCAAAAAAGTCTTAACCTATTGCATTTTATTAATTCGGTCATAAACCGTTTAATTGTACCAATTGAGTCTTAAACATTTTCACGTTTTGCCAATTGAATCTATCTGGTCAATTTTATTTGGAAATTGCTAATGTAAATGCCGACCATCCTACGTAGCACGGCCGGCGCTAATGTGGATATTTTTAATAATATATTTAAAAAAATTGAATTTTTTATGGTTTTTTTCTTTTTCTTTTTCTTTTTCTTTTTTCTTTTTCTTTTCTTTACCTTTTTTTCTAGTTTTTGGAGTGAGGGCCAGTTACCCTCGCCGACCATAGGCGAGGGCGTCGTGGCCCTCGCTTTGACCTATGAGGGCCGCATGCAAGCCCTCACCCAGGCCCTCAACAGCCACAGCGAGGGCGTCGCGGTCCTCGCTATGGCTTGCGAGGGCATTGGGCAAGGGCCACCAAGTCCTCATCGACCACCCTCCCCTAGTGGCCAGCAAGGGTGTCGCAACCCTTGCCTAGCCTCACTCCAAAAATCAGAAAAAAAAAAAAAAGGACAAAGAAAAAAACCAAAAGAAATTCAAAATATTATTAAAAATATCAACGTCAGTATTGACCATCTTATGTGGCACGGCCAGTGTCCACATCAGTGATTTTCGGCCAAAGTTGCCTAGGGGCCCGTTTGGTAACATGCCAAACAGTAAAAATTTATGTTCTTTTGTTCCCAGAAATAGTTTGGGAACATAAATGCGTTTAGTAAACTTTTTGTTCCGGCACATTTTTTGCAAAAATTTGTGCCTGAAGCGAGTTTTGGAAGAGAAACAAGAAGTAAAAAAAATTGCTTCTTGTTTCTCGCATATTTGAGAATCAGTTTTTTCTTCTTTTTCTTTTTTTGTTTTCTTCTTTTTGTGTTCTTGTTCTTGGGTTGTGGCGGTCGCCGGCGCAGCGGCGGCCGGCCAGGCCGGCGAGGGCGTCTGCCCTCGCCGGGCCGCCAGCGGAGGCGAGGTCCCCCTTGCCGGCGAGGGCGAGGCTGGACCCTCGCCGCTTGGGCGAGGCGGCTCGCCGTCGCGACCCACGGCGAGCTCGACCTCGCCCGATCCGGGCGAGGCCGACCTCGCCATGATCGACGGCAAGCCACCTCGCCCGGGCGGCGACGTCCCGCCTCGCCCTCGCCGACAAGGGGGACCCTCACCTCCGCCGGCAGCCGGCCAGGGTCGTGACGCCCTCGCCGGCCCTGGGCTGTGGCCGGCCGCCGGTCGCCGGCGACCGGCCATGGCCAAGGAAGAGAATGGGTAGAAAGAAAAAAAAATATTAAACAATTCAAAAATTATTAAAATATTATTAATAAAAAGAAATTTTGTGTAGTTACCAAACGCATTTCTGTTCTTTTCTATCCCGGGCATAGAAATTTTGAACAGTTACTAAACGCCTTCAAATGCTTAGAAATTGTTTCCGGGCACAGAATAAAAAAGAACCATTTCTGAGTAGAAATAGTTCCCCGGCATAGAAACATTGTCATGCGCACCCTAGATGGACTCAATTGGCAAAACATGAAAATGTTTAAAACTGAATTAACAAAATTACAATAGGTTTAGGACTTTTTTGGTAACTTTCCCAATGACCATATGATATGTTTTTTCATCCAAAATAATACTTTGTTGAGTGTAACGGAGCATTTGTGTTGTGAAATTGATGAGAGAGATGATAAAAATAAAGGTATGAGTTAGCCTAATAAAAAAAAGGAACAATAATTTATAAAGAGAGATCAGGTATTTCGGTAAGTTAACTGGAAAAAAAAGAGTGCGTTAGCCAAAATTGGAGTAGAATAATTTATTGGCCTAATTCCAAAAAAAACATCAACTTTACCTTGAGTGACAATTTTGGCTCGAACATTTTTTTTGTCTCATAAAAAATTACAAACTTTCATTTAAATATCAAATTTGGCCCGAAAAATTTAAAAATTTCACATCATGAGGGCCAAATTTGTGAATAGAGCAAAAGTTGATGTTTTTTATTGAGACAAAAAAATGTTCGAGCCAGAATTGTTATTCAAAAGAAATGTTTGTGCTTTTCTTTTGAATTAGCCCCAATTTATTTTCTGAAGTTTTTGGCTGCCATTTGATTTAGTCATGAAGCAAAATCAGCCAGAAAAATTGTCTCAATCTCATCCATCCTGGTCCTCTAGTATTACAGTTCTCTGGAACGTTAGATATCTCACTTGAGAGTTGAGACTCCTTGATATGTAAGGCTAAACCCTATCACGTGATCTCCTCTAGAATTACTTACATTTCTCTAGGAAATTAGCTTGTCGATATTCCATGCTGCTCTGATGTAGATCTTACAGGAGAAAGGGGTGATGTTTTTATAGATCTGTATCGGTCAAAATGTTTCGAAAACGTCATGTTCGACTGTTAATCATTCAAATTTCAACATGTAACATTCGGCATATGCAAAGTGGGAAGTGAACAATGTGCAGGCATAATTTTTCTCCATCAAACAGTCCGTTCCGCATTGGGGGATCCGGGCTCGGCCGTAAGGGGTCCTTGGCCTGCCCTTGAGACCCAAGTCCAAATGTCCTGTCCTAGGTCCGAGCTTTAGGGTCTAGTCGTATTTTGGAAAATGATTTCTGATTTTCGGGAGAGGCAATCATTTTCCTTAAAAAAAATTTGTCGAAATTTTTTTCTGAATTCAAGTATAGGTTTTCCATCGATTAGGAAAAGACTTTCTATCGACTTATTTTTCTAAGAGATTTGATCACTGAAAAAATGAGAAAAATATTTTCTAAGCGTAAATTCCTACAAGACATAGGGACCTCCAAACATCTTCGGATGTTGCTTACTTGCCTTCATCCTCATTAGTAAGGATCAGCAAAACTGATAATGAAATTATTGTAGTCCACAGAAAAATATAGAGTTAATATCACGAAAAATTTCAAATTGGTACATTTGATATATTTACTATAAACTAATTTTTTTACCATCAAAAACCTCAAAATGGTACACTTATGACGCGGACCCTAGAAGCCGAGATCCCAATCTTGGGCATAGAAGTATGGAGTCTAGCCTTGATGAACCTGGGCGCAAACACCGGCACTAAGCCTCGAGCCTGGCCTCAATGGATCCAAGCCAGGGCACCGAAGCACGACCTCGATGGACTCGAGCTTGGCCTCTATAGGCCCGGGCCAGGGCAATAGGGAGCCAAGCATGGGCATCGGATTCTTGGGCTCGACTTCAATGGACCCAAGACTAACATCCATGCTCGTGCTAGGGAGCCGGGAACTGGGCTTGAGACTCCAATACTTTTGGCGGGTTTGTGAGATTTTTCTTACCAAATAATGAAAAATATTTTCCAATTCATCTTCAGATTTTAGCCAAATATCGGAAAATATTATCATTTTCTTGAAAAATGACTTTCCGAAAAATATATTTAAAAAATATTTTATTTTTCATAAAACAAACAGAGCATTAATGTTGATATATTTTGATTTTTTATATTTTGGTCAAAACGTATTTCAATTTTTAATGGGTCGAAAAAGACTTCACTCCTTCCTCAAACTGCGGAACAAAACTGGTGGAGAAGGAACCACATCAGTCCACTGCGAACCTCTGCCGATGGCGTCGCTGATCGCGAAGCGCTCGAGCTCCTCCGTCCTCGGCGGCCTGAGGATGGCGGCGGCGGCGGCGGCCAGACCCTACGCTTCGATCGCGGTCGGCGGCGACATAGTCTCCGCCGCGCCGGGCGTCTCCCTCCAGAAGGCTCGGAGCTGGGACGAGGGCGTGTCCTCCAAGTTCGCCACCACCCCTCTCAAGGATATCTTCAAGGTGGGTGGTCTTCGATTTCTTGCGATTGCTTCATTTGCAGCGGAAGTTTAGTATCTGAATTTTACTGATTTGCTTGGCCTGGGCTTCATCTGGACATGGGATTTCAGGGCAAGAAGGTTGTGATTTTCGGTCTCCCGGTGAGTGAATTCTTCACTCTTTTATGTTTGTAAATTTGTACGAAATGATTGAGCCCTTCTTTTCTTCTGGGCAGTGGATTCATGTGTGTCAATTGCAGCAAGCAATGTCTTCCTTATTTAGTGCTAACTTATTGGCGAAGTTTGCTCTTTTCCCTGACATCTGAAATGGGTTGAATGCAACTGATGGAAATCGTTGCAATTGTTTTTGAGTGGCTTGCTTTTGTGTTCTTGCCGTCTCGGTTGGTGTTATTGTATGGAGGCTTGAATAGATCGGTAGATATGTGCCTAGACTTTACCATGGGAGAGTCATGTTGTGCTCTTTGATTTCTGGAGTTGTTCCTGGTCTGCGTTGCGACAGAACTTATTGCTCACTAGATAGCGAGAGTTGAATTCTGTCTTTTGAACTCTGCAACGTTCTTGTTTCTTAAAAGCTGGAAGGCGGATATAGAAATCTGAACAAGAGCCTAATAAATGACATCGTATTAGAATTCGATTTTTGATGGTTTTATGTGAAACTGTCCCATTCTCCGAATATTGTTGTACTTTTAGAAAGAATAGGTGCTGGGTTTCATGCAGAAACTTCAAAGGCTATGCAGTCCATAATATGAGATTGCATGCTAGTCCACCATGTGTGGGTTCTGTGGTCCACTTACTTCATGATCCCAGCTGCATCATTGAGGAAGGTTTGGACATCGAGGTGACTTTTACTAACTGTTATGACTTCCCACCAAAATCGAATAAAAAAAGAGAAAAGAAATTTGGATTTTAGACAATTATAAATAAGTTTCACCAGACATTAATGTTATAATTCACATACATTTTGATATCGTGGTGTTCAATACTAAATAATAGTCAATCTAAAACACTAAAAGCAAAAAATAGAAATAAGAAGTTAAAAGCATAATTCACCTTGAACAAACTTAGTTGCACAACAAATTAGCATGTTTTGAGAAAACTCTGTTGTTGTCTGTTAATAATGTAGTTTGATGTGA